AGAGAGAGAGAGAGAGAGAGAGAGAGAGAGAGAGAGAGAGAGAGAGAGAGAGAGAGAGAGAGAAAGAGAGAGAGAGAGAGATTGTAAAAATTGCTCCGTCCCCCTCCCCCTCCCTCTCCACCACCCCCATGCGTACATTAACTTCCTTTTAATGTTTACTTATTTAATGTTAGAGAAAGACACCTTCTGTCTCAGAACGGTAGTCAAATCGTCATTTCTTATTACGTAAGAGCACGCGAGTGGTTGGAGGGCACCACAGGCAAGTTCCACATCTCTTTTTTTTTCTTTTTATTGCCAAATTTGTTTAAACTGACCGACCTCTTGTGTTACTACAAGTCACGCTCTTTTTTTTAAACTTTCATGACCTTCTTTGTTTTTAAAAACATCGCACCCAGGGTCTATTTCCAGTCTACAATGATACCAAAGATAGTACATGACAAGATGGTTCACTCAGCCAAAAAAGTGTCCACCGGAAGTCCGCTCTTTGCTTCAGATGGCGCTGCAGTTTGTTTTGAAGCTCTCTTTCGTTTTTTCAGAAGAAGAATAGGAATAGCACCCCCTTGCGTGCGTAGATCGACTGCTGTTCATCAGCAGTTCGGGTTCGTTCAGTGCGGAGTTTTAGGTTTTTAAATTTTTTTATGACCTTTCGCCTTTCATTCTAAAGCCTGTTATGATGTTATGCCAACTTGAACGATGAGAACAATTCTCCCCTTCCTCCGGAAAAGGCTTTTTTGTCAGCATAACCATTAAAAAAAAGCGTTCTTCCGAAATTTAATCAAAAACTTGCTAGTTTCACTTTGATTTTTTTAAAACACAAGTAGGGTAACTCTGTTCGCAAAAGGTGCACATTTGCGAAGAGGGCGCCACCGAATTTTGAGGACACTTTTTAAATTGGCTCAAAGAGAGGAGTGGCCCCTCTTGTTATGTAGACTCTTTGATGATACTAAACAATTAATAAGGCTGACTGAACACCAACAAGCCGCCTCTACATTTAACAGCACAGAAGTGCTTGTTCAACCACTTTTTGTAGCCAACGATCACTTTTAGGCGATACCGCCTCTTTTTGCAAGCACTTCCAGACAGTGCTGAAAAGGGGCGTTAACACTATACAAGTGTGCCTTTTATAAAAGAAGTGTCTACGTACTCCCCGATTGGGGTCCACGTAGTCATGGTGTCTAGGTGGACCCCAAAAATTTTGGATTGTGATTGGCTCGCTGAGCGGTAGTTTACATTGGTTACAATCCAAGGCTACTGATCATCTCGGGCGGTGTGTCGATCTAGATCTAGTGTTACTATAATTTATTTATTTTAGCCCAGAGAGAGAGTATTTAATGAATAAACGTATCTAGATCTAGAAT